TTTTTTATGGATTATAACAACCAAATTCTTGTGGTACACTTTCTAATTGTTTGCAACATCTTGAATCGACCTTAGTCATTTCATGGTGTTCTAATTTCCTTATACAAAGTTCATCTCTATATTCTTTCGCATATTTTTCTAAAATTCCTAGAGATTTTTCTTCTTTTGTTTCACTAATTTTCTTTTGAATATATTTATTCATCTCATATTTAAGTTTACTCTCAACTATTTGTATTAGTCCTGATCGATCTTTAATTTTATAGAAATTCTCTCTTACTTGACAGAAAAAATTTTCTATGTAGCATATATTGCATAGCTTCATATTTGTTAGAAATCTAACTACTTTATCTTTTTGTGTTTCTTTTGATTCTTGTCCTGTAATTCCTAAAAATTCTTTTAACAAATCTTTTGCTAATTCTTTTAAGGCTCCTATTTTATATTCTGCTCCTGTTTCCGAACCATTGCCTTCAAGATTTAATAATATTTGAGTATTTTCTAGATAATCAAATAATACTCCAGATGTTTTATATCTTATATAATTAACAAAATCGATTAATGGCATTCCATTTATCATTGAATCATTAGTTTGAACTAATAATTTTAATTGATTAGTCCAAGTGACTATTAAATCTTCTACATTAGTTGCACAATCTATATTTAATATTCCATTAGATAAATTTCCTTCTTTTTCTAAATATGCTGGTGGAATATTTTTCTTTATTTTTTCTTGATGATAACTATAATTATTTCTATATATAAAATCTCTGAAACTACTTTCAACATAATTATTATGTGAAGTAGATGCTTCATTATTATTTGTTCTAGGTCGTTTTGGTGATAGTGGCGGTGTTGTATGAGGTTTCTGATCAGTCATATTAAATGTTGGCTCATCTTCATCTTCACTATCTATTCCATAAATTATTCCTTGTTTATCCTCATCATCTGTTTTTGCCATTCTAGTTTCTTCAATATTGCATTTTTCTAATAACTGAGTTAACCTATCTATATCATCCATTAGAACTTGTTGGTGGTTTTATCTGAATCGGCTTAAATACTCTTTTCCGTGTTTTTTTCTTTTTGTACTAAATCTTGTAGTTCTCTTATTATTTCTTTTATTTCGTCTAATTTTTCAAATGTTTCTAATTGGGTCCTTTTTATTATTTCTATAAGTGCTTCTATTTGTTCTGAAACTTTTGGTGGATTACTCATAATTTTTATTTTTATTTTTATTATTTATTTGCCTTAAATAGTGTTTTTAAATGGATTTTTTATGTTGAATTTGTCCATAGCAAAATGTTGTGTGAGAATAGCAATTGAATTGCCACTTGGCTTTATATTATTGGCCTTTTCAAGAAACGGGCGTCACCCGCGCGGGTGGCGTCGACTAAAGCTATAACTAACACCTCACATTTTACCTAGTCATCATAATTTAAAGGGAAAGAAAATTTATAAGAAATTTTATACCAAGTTGAACCTTGAAATTTATTGTGATTTGCAGTTCAAACTGCAATAGTTGTGTAATGCACGAGACAATAATGATAAAGAAATGCTACATTGTCAACCTAGTGCACAACTAGGTTGACAACACAAGTAAAAAACATGCACAAAAATAAAAATAAAAAAATACACATGTTTTCACTTGTGTTGTCAGCCTAGTTGTACACTAGGTTGACTATGTATTATTTTTCAAACCATATATATCAAAGTAACGAAGAAATATTAATTAGTATAAAAATAATTTTGAATATTAATATTACTTTTTATCTTTTATTTGTATTTATGATATATAGTTGTTTAATATATGATATATATGTTTATTTTTCAGCTAAAAAGTAATTTTCGTTTTAGAGTTTGTGTTTAAAATTAAGTAAACAAAATTTATCATATTCAAACATTATTAATAGTTTGATATAAATAAAAACATTATCAATAAATAATACTACAAAAATACTTCTTTGTCTCTCTTCCCTTCCTTTATACCTTATTGCAATATATTATTTCGATTCCTGAATAAGTAATTGTAAAGCTAAAAAATTGTGAAAAATATTATAAATTGATCTTTTATTAAAAAGAATAGTGTATACTATTTTAAAGTTATAAAATTCATTAATTTTTAACTACGTCAAAAAACAATATAATATTTGTTATAATTTAATAAAGTATATTTTAAATATTTTGAATTTTCTTTCTAGTCTAATAACTCATACGGCAGTTCGACACCGGCTCATTATCATAATAATTTATAACAATACATTATAAATAAATAAAAATATTATTATTTTTTCTAAACTAATAATCTAAATCGTTGTTCAATAGATGACTTGTTGGTTTATTATTATAATATAATCATATACATTATTTTTTTGTTTTTTCTTTCTAAGTTAATAATTTACACGTTCGATGCGTTAGTTTTCATCTAGTTTGCACATAATATATTATAAATATTTTTATTTTTTCTTTCTAAACTTATAAGTTACATGACAGTTCGATGGATGACTCATTGATTTATCTTAATTTATAAACATATATATTATAAATATTTTGACTTTTGAGTCACTAGAATCTTTGTTGTACAAATCTTTGAATATATAATGCAGTTACGATGGTGGAGGTGCCCTTTTATGTTGTTGTGGTCAAACCACATGTAAGAGCATCTCCAGTGTTGTATGTTATTGTGGTGAAAAACATGTCACGTGATCAATAATCAAATATCAATCTATTTTTTACCTTCCAATGGTCCTATAAATAATAAATGTTGTGCTGAGGTGGCTACAATTAATTTCTATACTGTGATAGGGACTGTGAAATATCTACAGCCTTCTCCACAGGATGACTCAGCAAATCTATACTTATATAATAAGAATTAACATTTTATCCAAAATAGTAGGTCAAATTATAGTCAATGTCGGATTTGCATTAAATATTTTTCAAAACCGGTAAGTTTTTGTTCTTTTCACACTTCTCATTAATTATGTCCTTTTCATACTTCTCATTAATTATGTCCTTTTCACACATCTAATTAATTCATTAATTACGACATAATTATCATAAATCATTCCATCTGAGCTTTTATCGTTAAAATGTATATCGATCAGTTATGACCTTATCCCATTGATATTTCCATGAAGCGTCCTTATCGCGTTCTATTTTTTGGTAACCACTCTATATCAATAACCGGATATTTGGTTAATGATAGCACACGTCTGTATTTCAAGGAGCGGATATTCTTTGACCTATAATTAATCTGAACTGATTGCCTTGACTTTTCAATTTTTAAAAACTCTTTTTTTAAATATTTTGGCTTAAGATTCAGATTTCATTATACAAGTCATTGGATTGTTTGAATGAAAATGAATGAAAAGAACATCAAAAACAGGTAGTCTTATTCATATAACCAATCCTAAAATATTAGTTTGTTCACCAAAAAGAGACAAATCCTAGAAATCCTAAAATATTAGTTTGTTCACCAAAAATATTAATTTGATTTTTAGGATTTGTCTCTTTTGAAAATATTAGTTTGTGATAATGAGGAGTTACCAAATAATCAAACTAATGTTGTGTACAAGGAGGTTTTTAATAATATATGATTATTACCGAACTTTTTATGATTCAACAATGTTCTTATGTATTTTAATGATTTCAATTTCGATCCTAATGCACATGACGTTATTTTATTTTTCCAAATTTTACAGCCCGTGCACGGGTTACGTACTAGTTTAGAGGAAGAGGCAAATGGGAATTCTCAAAAGCATCGAAAATCTGGTGGGGAAAACTGGCGGGCACCAAAATTTTTACCAATCGTGTATATATGAAAACATTGAAATTTTCTCTTCTCCTACAACAGAACCAAGAATCCTTTGCCCAAAAATAACAATTGTCGATTCAACAAAGAATTTATGGTACGTGAATTTTTTGGGGCTTTTATTAGTTGACAATCAATTCTTTCGTGATTACGACTTTCCCATATTCTGTTATGTTTAGCATCTCTCCATGTACTGAAATTTATTGTGATTGTTAAGGGTTGGCAGTTTTAGATAATTCCTCTTGATAGCAATTTTTATTTTTTTATTTTTATTTTTTTTTCAATCCTAATAGCAATTTCAATTCATGATTTTCATGTTTCAAAAAATAGCATCTTTAATTTTATGACTTCTAGATACCCTTTCTCATTGATGTGTTGTATGTTGTGTATGCAATTGAGGGGCCATGGTTAGCCGTGATCCACTAGTGAACCACATATATATTATCTATATGTAATAATTTATTTGTTTTATACATTGAACCCACAAGATGTTAGATTAGTCGTGTATCAGTTTATGCCCACCAAGTGTTTCTTCAAATGACAGGCACGGCTTAGTGAGTTTTATGTGTCCAATAGTATTTGTCATCTGTCTTCATATCCATTAAGCCTAAAAATGATATCTACCTTTATGGGTTTGAGCTATGAGGAACTATGCTTACCCTTAACAGCACTTATACTACAACAAATCTACATTTGGAATGAAACTATCAACATTTGTTTATGTAAAAACCACTCTGTCTTATTAGCAGTTAATACAGTGTTTTAATTCCATTACATTTTCAATTAATGAATTTTTTTCAATGTTTGTATCAAGTGTCCTTCCATGATTGTTTTTCTTAAGTTAGTCTCTTCACATAGCAGTCGAGTATTAGGGTTGGGTTTGTGTTTTGTTCCAGAATCTCTTATAGACATTGCATAAATTCTTGATGTTGAACTCTAAATGATGTTTGAAATCAGTTTAATTTAGCTCAATAGCATACATGAATGTAAATATTTTTATCATATTACTATTGTTTTATTCAGATTTTTTTAAATTCTTTTTGTTTATAAAGATGGACAGGGGTCTACAAGAATCCAATATCATGTCAAATTCTGATCAACACTCTAACTATGACTTGGCATCTCAATTTCCAAATCCACATATTCATCACAACTCAGAATCTCATCCTCCTGGTTTTCATTTGAATTCAACTAGTGGATGTGGAGCCCTCCTTCGTTCCAAAGCCTACTGAACACGCCAATAGTTAGAAATCCAATGGTAATAAATCAAAGTGGTGTTAACAATGCTCATTTTCCCAGTTTTCAGACTCATGGTAACACTTCTTTGAGTAGTAACCAAATTCCAATTAGCACTCCAATGGTTCCTTCTCAAATTTGTGGTAACACCACGGGCATCAACAATCAGAATCAAGTAACGACAAAAAGATTAAAAAAGAGAGTTAAAGATGTCCAAACGTCAAGTGGCAAAAAGGATTGGGGTGTAGAAGAAGAAGAAGCTTTGACGAATGCATGGTTGAATGTGTCTTTGGACCCTATTGTGGGTAACAAGTACCATGTGCCTCTCAGCTCATTACATCCTAGATCTCTTTGGCAACAGGGGGTTGAAATTTCTCAGTTTTACTAAACTCTAAGATGAATCTTAATCAGCAACAGTTCAAAACGTAGAGATTTGTAGCTCAGAGGAGATTCCCAATAGTAAATACACAACACTTGGGATAAGAACCAAATTGATGAACACATTTGCCACAAGCGCTGTACCTTTCTTTTCTCACGCAAAGGTCTCACACTACCGTTAGAAATATTATCATCAGGCGAAGTCAAAGGCACCAATGATTTTTCATCTAGGGTTCTTCGAGTACCAAGTTAGAATACTTGAACACATATGTAAAACTGAAACAAGTACCTAAATTACGAAAAACACAGCGTCTCGAGAGGTCTCTACAAATAAGAACAGGACAACAGCATTTTCAAGTCCTCTTGCGCTTGAGGGTTTTGATCTGATTGTAGATGTAGTGGATGACCTCCTTAAGTGTGGCTTTGCGGTTCTCCTTGAAGTTCCACAGCTCAGGGACCACATAACAGCCACTCGGGTTGTACTCTTGCATCTCTATCAAGGCCGTGGTCACTGCCTCGTATATCTCTTGGCCCCACTCTGCCCGTAGCCCACGCAGCTCCTCATCCTCTTCCTTTATCTCGCTCTACAAGAGCAAGAATGACATAAAGAATAAGAAAGCCCCTTTCAAATAATTACAATGACAGCACACAATGGGTTCTTTTCTTCTTCTGTAATTTTGTGCAATAAGCAGAGCAGAGTTTCCTATGGCTCGGTTTAGATCTCAAGGGTAGGGTTTTGTAACTTATAATAATAAAGAAAAGATATTTCATATGTAGCGAAGCAAAAAAAAATGAGGGAAAGGCATATTTAGAGGACACTTCCTTTAAAATCCCTAAATCTCTTTTCAAATTCCTTCTAACTCCCCACCACTTTTAAAATTCCTCCTAACTCCCTACCCCCTTAATAAACTTCCTCTTAAATCCCTTGTATTAAAATAAATCAAAAAAAATATACTTTATGACACCACCCCCACTAACATATTCTTTTTGTCATTAATTTATTATTTTTTTTACACAACTATTATCACCCACCCTGCACTACACCCTCCTCTCCGTTTTCCCCTCCCCGTTCCCATCTTCACCCCACTTTTTCCATTTCCCAGCTTTTAATCAATTTTTTTTTTCGCATATGTAACTCGCCGGCTAGTATTCGTAGAGAAGAAGTCCGGCAGCAACAAACCGGGGCAACTAAAATTGATATTTATCCGGCAACATTGAGCCTTTTTTCCAGCGAAAACTTGAAGTAGTAAGTAATATATGTATTACATTAGGACTTTGGAGTCCAAAAATCATCTTTGATTCATATATTTTTGGTGAATTTGTTATGGATTGAAGTTTGATTAGTGTTGTTCATATTTACCCTAATTTATGTTATTGTTAGGCTATGTTAATTTGCTCTTCATGTATACCAAATTGATGTTATTATTAGGCTATGTTAGGTGTTATTCACCATTAAAAAAAAAAGATTCGAATAATTATAGTACCACTATTTTGTATTTTGGTACCTCTGTTTGTTTATATAGTACCACGTTTCTAACTGTTTGGTACCATATCTACTGGGAAAAATGTGAAGTTGTTTTGTATTATCCAATTTTTTTTAGAAACATGGAAGGAGCACAAAGTGATATATTAGGGAGTTGTACTTACAAAAATGAATTGTATGTATTCTCTATGAGCCTTGGATCAACGCTTGACGAAGTGTACACTCTCATTGGTAAGAGGTGGCCGAATTTTAGTTGGAAAACCGTCATGTTAACCTATATTGCGCCGAAGGAAAAAAAGAGAGTTAATTTGTCCGATGATGAGGATGTGAGAAACATGATTCGGCTACATCTTTGTTGGAAAATAAATATTGTAGATATAGTTGTCATTGAAAGAAATGAAAGCCCGGCCATTGGAAGAAATGAAAGACGGGATGATGGACCGATGAACATGAGCCGGTAATGTTTCTTTTCTATTATTAATGAATTTACTATTGAAATATGGTGTATTTGTATCTTCATTAATTTTTTAACATGAACGCAGAAGAAACGTACCTTCTTTTGATTTCTCGGATGGAGAATCGGAGCCGTTAGTGCAAGATAAATCGATTGATTCTTGGAGATATTGCATCAAAGGAGAGGGACAGATATTTGGGGGCGGCGCTGATAAATTCCGAAAGAGCGTTAAAAACTACGCAATTGCAAATAGACGCTCTTTTAAGTATCGAAAAAATGATCAGCAGAAGGTGATTGTTTGTTGTAGCGATGAGGGTTGTGATTGGAGAATATATGCCTCAAGATACAAAGGTGATAATTTGTTTGCCATCCGCAAGAGCAATCTAGTCCATACTTGTGGAGTCTCCAATCTTCGGACAAGGGGGCATCCGAAAGCTGACTCTCATTGGGTATCTAATACAATTAAAGACAAATTGAGAGATGATCCGAGCTACAGGCCTTGCACGATATTGCAAGATCTTCACAGGGACTATGGCTTGGAGTTGCCTTACAAAAAGGCATGGTTAGGAAAGGATCTTGCCATGGAAGATATTCATGGAGTAGACAAGGGCTCTTACGATAAATTGAGATGGTATTGTGATGCAGTGCGTGAGACAAACCCGGGAAGCATTGCGGATTGTGAGATTAATCCTGTGGAGAATAAGTTTCGCCGACTGTTCATTTGTTTGCATGCGTGTCTTGTTGGTTTTTTAACCGGTTGTCGACCGTTGATATTTTTGGATGGCACCCACATCAAAAATAAATACAAAGGTTGTTTGCTTAGTGCTTTGAGTAAGGATGCCAATGATGATTTGTTCACTGTAGCTTTTGCCATGGTTGATGGCGAGGCGGATGAAAATTGGGAGTGGTTTTGCTTGAAGCTGAATCATTGTTTTCTTACCTCGCGCTTACCTGTTCCTAATAGCTTCACGTTTTTTACAGACCGACACAGTGGGCTACTTAAAGCCATCCCTATGGTTTTTCCTAACAGTCATCATGCTTATTGTTTGAGACATTTAGTCGACAATTTTAAAAAGCATGTATGAAACTTAATTATTCTGTTTATATTAATAATAATCTTAATTAATCAATAATTATTCATAATTATGTACATTCAGTAATATTATTATTATGTACATTCATTCACAATAATGCATTCACAGTAATACATTCAGTAATAGTAAACTTAGTTATTCTATATTTTGTAATACATTCTATTATTATTATTATTATTATTATTATTATTATAAATAGAATAATTTTCATATCCTAACATCCATTCTATCATATTATAGAGTAATGTCATCTTGCCATAATAATGCTTAGTAATGCTTAGTACTAATAATGCTAACAGAATGTAATGCTTATTACTAATAATGCTATAATAACTGCCATTTTTTTTAATTAATAGAATGTAATGCCATTGTTCAGCATAGAATATAATGCCATTTTGTAACATAATGTAGCAGCCATTTTATTACTAATAATAACAGAATGTAATGCCATTTCTTTTTTCAGGTTTTGAGGAGCTACCCACTTCATAATAAGAAACATTGGTCCTCGATTTTTATGAAAGCTGCGTATGCTCCTAGAAGGCAAGAATTGATATGCATATAAATAATATATTGACTGTCATGCCTCTTGCCATAAAGTTCATTCAAGAATCTAACCCACATTGTTGGGCGAATTCTTTATTTCCTGGAGACCGGTGGGGAATCATCAATAATAATCAAGCCGAATGTTGGAATAATTGGGTAAAGTCGACACGATTTATGCCTATCGTAGCCATGGTGGATCACATAAGAAAACAAATTATGACCATGATGCATGATCGGCGTGAAGAAGGGTCGCGGTTCAATGGCCAATTGTGTCCTAAGCTTGAGAAAAAAATTGCATCTTGCTACAATGGTTCTCGGAGTCTCAAAATTAGTCAATCAAGTGATTGGAGGTTTGAGGTTGTTGATGCCGACAAAAGTTGTGACGTGGATTTGCAATCTCGTACTTGTTCTTGTAGAGAATGGCAAGTATCTAAGATGCCGTGTAAGCATGCATGTGCTTGTGTTGAGAGTAAGTAAATGTCCATCTATGATTTTTGTGATCCATATTATCGTGTTGGGATGTATAAGCAAGCTTATCAAGGTATTATTAACCCCATACCTAACTACGACCATAATGTGACCTCTTCCTCGTTTTATCTTGACGATGTCATTCATATCCCGGATGTACGTTCTCAACCCGGCCGCAGGCAGGAAAAAAGGTTTCCTTCACAAGTTGATGTTGCGGTTAGGCGGTGTAAGCGTTGTGGTGGTCGTGGACACAATCGACGCACATGCAAAGAACGCATCTAGATCACTGTAGGTACTAGTTTGCAATGTAGGTACTAGTTTTGTGGACATATGTGTGTACTTCTTTTCATTGCAAAGAGTGAGTAGTCAATGACACTTTATAAGTAATATTTTTTATAAAATATAATGGTATTTAATATTGCAATATAGGTACTGGTCTTGAGAAGTTTTAATCCAGCAAGTAATATAAATCTGGTACTAAATATTTACAGTTTCACTTCAGCAAGTTGGTACTAAATGTGAAATATAAGGTACTAGTTCAGTACAAAACTGGTACTATCCTTTTGTAAGTCTGGTACTAGTTTTTGAAAATGGTACTAAAATACCCAGTGTGTCGAGTTGATGACCATTTTACGATTATAGTGAATGAAAAACATTCCAATTCACGTATGAACTAATGTGATAGTGAACTTGGGTCATATAAACATCATTGGAGACCAAAATTCGGTGTTTTAATATGTTCATTACATGTGGTACTGAATACCTACTAAATGGTACTACTACAATAGAAAGGTGGTACTACGCTTCCATAGGTGGGGTACTTGTTTTTGGAAATGTTGAGAGATTGAAATACATTTTCGCGTAACAAAACCTGGTACAAATCCATCAAAAACTGGTACCACCCAGAGGCCAATGCGGTACTATGTTTCATTAGAAGTGGTACTACATTAGTAATTGTGATTTTTTTT